AAAGACTTCTTTGGCCTTGTGGCCGCCGGCTTGATAGGGTACGGTAATGAGAATGAAGAGTTCGAATAATAATAGGAAGTGAGATGAAATAAGACGCTTACAAAAACGAAATCAGGATAATGCAGGAAAATGGAAATGTTCGATGTTTGAGGAAAGCTAGATAGATAGAAATTGACTCTTCTGTTACTGACCCTCAGTGGTTATTTCCCAATTTTCTTTCGATTCTCAAGTATGCATGTCGAAATAAGGCCCCTTCCGAAGAGCAGAACAGGAGTTTGTCCTTTACTGTAACAAAGAATCATAGCGCTCCCCTCAGCTCAACGAAGTTCTCGGCGGATCGTGGATAATAACAAGGCTTTCCACCAAGAGCCCTCTGAGGAGTGCGAACTCTTTGGGTCGGGATCGGATGACGAGAAGCAAAATGACTTCGAAGCTGGAACGACTCAAACAAGGCTAATTTCAGGTTCATAAAGCCGGACGGCCTCTACATGGACGTGCCATGGAATCAAGTGAGGCGATGGAAATGGGATTTCCCGCCCCTGGAGACGTATGCCGTCGATTAGGCTTTAGGCTCGAGAATTTTAAACGAGCTCGTTTCCATCGTTGATGACGAGAATTGAACTGCCAATCATATTTTGTTCAACATTTTCGCTTTGATAGGTTTTATTGTCGATAAAAATGCCACGAAATATAAGAAATGTGATATGTTTTATTGGCTTTTGAAACGACAACTGCTTTGTCTCCTTAGAGATTCGGCGGCCGTGGCACTTTGTAGTTGGCAAACGGACGACAATACGACGCCATCCATTCATGGTAAGACTGGAAAAACCTAGGTAATTCACTAATTATTCATATGTAAGAATTTCTCAGAAGTCCACCTGAATCTCTGACATCATCGCCTCGATTTCCTTCAAGTGTTCTGTTTTCTGCTCCGGCAACGTCACCGTTAAAAAATTCTCCAGCTGGAAAGATCCTCTTGAAATGTTTCCCCTTTCCCAATTCAACCAAACCCTACCGCTTTTAGATCAGCCTCGTATTTTTCAGTGGCCTTCTTAGCGGCTCTCTTTCGAAACATAGTTTCGCCTTTCTTCAGATCTTCTTCAGCCATTTCCATATCCTCTTTTGATCTCTGCAGCGCACGCTTCAAATCCTCAAACTGAAATCACCCCATTAGACCACTACCAGCCAAACATTCGTGCCACGATAACTGCAGCCGACCAAAAATTGAGTTATGTGGGCGGAAAAAACGCCACTAATGATGGACGCGATCTTCTCAGGAATCAGCTTAGCGCTCACCGCCACGCGTAAAGAAATAAAAACGTGACCAAATCCATGCGAGGACCTGTGGCAGGGACATACCAGCGCTATAGATCTTCAATCAGCTACTGGCAGGGTCAACCATGGGTTGCAATTATCAACGGGAGGGGGGAGGTGGAGAGGGCGAGGCTCGTTTTTAGTGGGTTTGCTGATAATTTTGGTGAGAATTTGAGAAAATTGGCATGAGTTTTGAGGGGCGACGGACTATTCAATCGTCGGCTAATGAGGTCACGCCGCTCACGCGGCGAGAATCGTCGCGTGCGGCAGTTGCTGCGGCGATTTCTGTGTGGACCTTTTCTTATCCATCCATGCCCATAAGTTGGCTAGGTGACTGATAACACCAGAGTGTTTTGAGATTGAGGAGTTGATCCAAGCTCGACGGCCACCTTTGGAGGGAAAAAGTGGATACGGTGGGTGTGTAGAGTGATCTTAGAGTCACTGATTAAATACCATAGAACAGTCATAATGGTGAGGGCGGTGGTCGGAAAGTGGTTAAGGGCGGTGGGTCGGAAATGGTTAAAAGGGGAGGGGGGCGTCGTCGTGAGGCTAAGGCTGATGATGGTGGTGAGGGCCCCTATCGAAACATCTTCTAAGAAGGGGGTCGTAAAAATTTTGTGATTGGAGCAACGGACGATTGATTCTAACTACTGGTTAATGGTTGGGAACAAACAGCTGAGTTCGAGTTTTCGAGGCCAATCCTTATGCTATACTTCTGTCTATAACATTAGAAGTGCCTAAGTGTGCCATAATAAAGTCCGATATATCCACCATTTCGGGTACCCCCCAGGAGGCCCGTCGCGCGGCAAGAAGGCAAAGTCAGCGGACGAGTCGCGCGCGTACTATAGGGATTTCGCGTCAAGTTAAATAGAGTGTCCCACTGCACGTCCTACATCGCACACCACGCGCTGCAACTCGTCCGCCGACTCTGCCTTCTTGCCGCGCGACGGGCCTCCTGGGTGGGGTACCCCACCCTTTCAAAAAGCGTGAAGAGTGTCGGGTGCACACCACACACCACACATGACGACGGTTTTCACTGGATGTAAATTGTTTTCTTGCGATGAAATAATTAGCCTGTTCATTTACAGTTGCATTTTATCAGTTGTCACTGATTACAACTATTTACTAAAAATCAGCTATCACTATAAACCAGATTTACTTTGAGGCCGTCGTCACTTGTGGTGTGTGGTCTGCACCCGACGCTCTTTTCGTTTTTTTGGAAGAGAGAGTACGTCTTCCAGACTTATTGAAAACTCACTCTCTGCACAGCCACAGAAAGGCAGACTACTTTTGCTAGATTACTTCTTTGAAAAATTCTAGGCGTCTTGCGACTAATGCAGAAGCTTATTATGTGGAGCGTCATGTGCCAATAAGTCCTAATTATAGGCAAGTTTTTTGTTCCACGCAACTTCCAAAACGTTCTGTTTTCAAGTGACGCTTTCATAAAGTACTTGTGTAATTCAACTCGAAAGGATGCCTGGCTGCACACGCGGAACCTTACGTATTGTGCAGTATGATACAATCAGGAATCACTCAGAGCCGTCCACTATCAGCAGCAACTCATTACGACGGATACGCCATGAAAAGTACCTCTACGAGGGTCGCGAGGAGCGTTGCAAATGTTGCAACCAATCACATGCGGAATTTTGGAGCGAGCCAACGTCAACATAAGATTTTCAATCTATATTCGCATACCACAGGACATCATAGAGTTACGGCCGGCGTGTTCATCCTACAAGCATCTAGATTATTAATTATTCATTCTGGATTAGTAGGCACGGAACAACGGCTCATGAAGATGCCATCTGATGAACAACAAGCGGTATACCAGTGAAAAACATGGACAGGCCAATTCTTGCTAATTGGTTTACGAAAACAACAGGAAGGTGAAATAAACGAATAGAAATGAGCAGTAAACATTGAGTGAAGGAGTGAGAGGCAGAGCCAAGGGAGAAGAAAAGTGCGTATGATTTCTGGTATTCTACTGAATACCTGCAGTTTGGTTAAGTTTTGCTATCTGGAGAACTTGCCGATCCCACGTGGAAAGTGATAGAAATGCATGCCTCAGGAGATCACCGCAGTGATGGGCCCCTTTCTCCCCCCCCCTTTCTCTTCATCTGCCAATCCTAACACATCTGAGTGCTCAAAGCGAAGGTTACGGTATGATTGAATTGAACGATACAGCATTGCAAGGGGGTGTGTTTAATAAAGCGTCAAGGCGAGGGAAGCAGAGAAATCCTTCAGGAACACGCAAAATGGATCCCTCTGTTTGCCCGTTGATCTCCGACATAGACCAGCCAGCAGCTATGAGCGCCGTAGGATAGAGGTTCAGTGTTGTCGTGATGTGGAAAAATGAGAAAGAAACGGAACCTTCTTTGCTCGTTGGATCACCGCTGGCAGCTAGCCCACTTTGTGTATGCGAAAAGGCTTCATCTCGCTTTTTGACCGAGTGAGTTTTTCCAGTCGACTGAAGTAACCGGAACTATGTAGGCTGCGAGATTTTCAAAACAGCTGAGGAACGTTGAAAGAGCAGCGAGTATCGAAACACTCTGCAATTTGTGCTCGGCAAGTACAGGGACGGAAACTTTTCTTCCTTTGGAAATTGAAAGTATAACTCCACCTATACTTGATGTCCACCTATCTAGGTAGTTTAAGCGCCATGTGTGGAAGGTCTGCTCATAACATTCAGTGAGCTGAACTCGCTCAAGCTAATCTAGGATTCATTTCCTTTGAAACCGCTTGGCCTACGAGGCCCACATTTAGGGGATAGGAAGGAATTGTTTCAGTGAGCTATTGCACAGACTGAATGTGCATCGAAATTTTGCGAAGTGGTCCGGCAGAACGGAAAAAGAAAGAAAAAAATGACCAGGGTAATGTCGAGACAGTCACTCATTCTACGGTGGTGCCAAGGCAGAGAGACTGAGCCCGGAGGAGAGAGTGTAGGCGAAAGAGCACAATAGATGAGAGAGCGCCAGATGCGAGCATGCTGCGTGAGAGAAGGAATTGAAGGATTGGTACGGATCTCTGTAGGGCCCTAACGAGCCTGGACTGCGCCACTTTGAACCCACAGGTCCAGCTCTATCATAAACACCAAAAGGCTTCATCCAGCTGAACTCATTCTGAGTTCTACCTTTAAGGCAACACCCCTATTACGAGTCATGCCAAAAAATCTATTCTGTGGGTGGGATAGAGTAGCCCACGAGTATCACAGATGTGCCGTTGTCGCGGCTCGAAAGTGCGTGGACAATGGCGCTAGGGTCTTACAAAGCAAGCTAATAAGAACTAATGTAGCTAGTGGACGAGATACCTCGTGCATACCATAATACGCAACGTGGATTGCGACCTAGCGACTGATACAAGTGCGCTGGCTGAAGCCATTGAGCGAGCAAATTCAGACAACTCGTCCGGACGCACTCCTCCCTCATTTCAATGGGGAAGAGAGGAAGTTCTCGTTCAAGGGCTCCATCGGAGGTTTGCTTTGCTTCTTTTCTCTGTTGACTCGATACCTACTATTCCATTACCGACCGCTGTTATCCCACCAATTTGACCTGGCTTTGTTGCTTTAACTCAGCTTTAGCTGCTGGAGTAGGTCAACTTGAAACGATTGGAACGGCGCTTACTTCAAAATAAACACTGTTGATGAAAGTGCGAATCAAGTGGATCTGTCGTCGTCCTCGATTCTGGAACTCACGCTGTTTGGCGGCAATCAGTGCACACTGCTTCGAACACAGCGACATCAACTAAAGAAGCCAATTTAATTCGTTGATTACTCTGGACGGGACGTTCTAGGAACATCTCGTCTCGTATTTCTCGTGTCATATTCCCTAATTTGGGATCTTGTTATAAGCAACATCAAGCACACAAAAAGTACTCATCTAGGTACATGAACGCACATAACATCAGTAAAGTGCTGTGAAAGGTGATAGGATATCCAACAAAATAGGCTATGTATCACCTTGCTGAAGCTAGCGCCGGTCATTTCACAAATCTTTGCCAGCGCTTTTAAGGAACAAAGCTTGCTGGTTTTCCTTGTGCAAGTATTAAGCACTCGCACCATTTTGGCACTACTTACCCCTTACTGCCCCTCCCCTCGAAAACTGTATGGAACCATGCAGCAAAGTTTCACTAAGTTGAAGGGTATTTCCAATTTCAGATGAACCTTTCAGATAACTTAGCACTCAAATCTTTGAATACAAGTTGTAGGCGAGTTGGCACAACTATTTTCAGATTGCATTGGAGCGGAAAGGAACCGAACCGAGTCCGCAACATCAACGAGAAGGCAGGTCCTA